ATAAAATGGTTTGAAGACAGCCTGGATGAAAAAAAAGGTACTTGAAACCCCTTTTAAACCAATAGTTGAACATGGTGGCAAATGCTTGTTATTCTAGCTTTGTGATGGGCTAAGATCAGGAAGATGATGGTTCCAGACAAGCTTCAGGCAAAGTCTACAAGAATCCATGTCAATGGAATAAACTGAATATAGGTCACATATCTATCATCCTGGCTATAACAGGAAGCCTAAAATAGGTGAATGACAGACAAGGTACATTCCTTAGCAGGCATTGATACCATCTCAAAATTAACCAGTGCAGTACAGGAATGGAAGCATGACTCAGCAGTAGAACACCTGCCTAGCAAGCACAAAGCCCTGAATTCAAGCCCTGGTACTGCAAAAAAAATTTATAAAAGCCATTTTAAAAGCAGTCTATTACTCTCAATACTAGACAACCACTAATCTGTGTTTAGACAATAGAAATATTATTTTTCTGGATACATTGTTTACATAGAATCATACAATATTTATGTGGGTATGTATTCATATAACTAGCATACAGTGTGTATAATCTTTTACTTATATAGTTTGCACAATATGTAGTCTATTATCTGTAATCTTTTGTATCTGCCTTTTTCCACTCAGAATATTTTTGAAGGTGATCCATTTTATAGCCCCTATTGTTTCATTATTTTAAGTTATAAAATGGTTTCATTTATTAAGTTAACATGAGAAATATTTACATTGTGTCTACTTTTGTACTATTATAGATAGTGCTATGAATTATTATTATTGTTATTTGGTAGGATGTTTTTTTCTACCAGTTGTAAGCTTGAACTCTGGGCCTAGCACTGTCCCTGAGCTGCTGCTTTGCTCAACGCTAGAGCTCTACCACTTTGAGCCACAGTGCCACTTCCTGCTTTTTCTGTGATTTAATTGGAGATAAGAGTCTTATAGACTTTCCTGCCTGAACTGGCTTCCGAACTGCAATCCTCAAATCTCAGTCTCCTGAGTAGTTAGGCTTATAAGCATAAGCCACTGCCACCTGGTTCTATGAATTATTTAATAAAATGTTTTGTATAGGCAATTATTTTCACTGCTTTTGAGTTAGTACTTACTAGGGTTATTGTTTAATTTTATAACAAGTTTATGTTTCACTATTTAAAGAATCTGGCAAAATAATTTTTTTGAAGTGGCAATACCTACTGTAGGCAAGTTTCAGTTTCTCTTCACAATACTATCTTCTTTCATTTATCTTGTTGACAGTCTCTTCTTCCAATGCATTCAAGATGTCATTCCACTGTATTCTGTTTTGCACTGATTCTGATGAAAATTCAACCTTTTGTCTTATTGTTGTGTCCATGTATGTGATGAATCGTTTTGTCCTTACTGCTTTCCTGATTTCTGTCATTGACTTTAATTTGATTAACATGTGTTAAAGTGTAAGTCAATTTGAGCGTCTTGGACTTAACAGAGTAATATTCTACATTAGATTTGGGAAATTCTTCACCAGTTTCTAAATTTATATCTTCATATTGTGCCACATATCCTTGAAGTTCTGCTCAGTATTCTTTTTTTTTTCACTTTTTTCTCTGACCTCAAAATTGGATAATTTCTTGAAGTTGATGGTATTGGATTTTCTGTCATGTGAGATCTGCATCATAAACCCCTCTTGTTAGGAAATTTTCATTTGTTACTATATTTTTCAACTCTAAAATTTCCATTTGCTTATGTTTGTATTTTTTTATTTTGAATTACCTGTTTATTGAATTAATTTTGCCTTTCATTTCATCTTTTGCTGAACTTATATAATAGCTGTTTCAAAATCATTCTCTGATATACCTAATATTTGAAGTCATTTAGAGATGGATATCTATTGGCTGCCTTTTGTTCCTACAAATACTTAAGATTTTCCTTGTTTCTTTTTATGTCTCATCATTTTTGTTGAACACTAAGATTTCTCAAGTAATTCATTTTAGTAGCTAATGTTTGGAATCCCAAGATGTTATTTTGTCTGTATGTTTACCCACTTGTCTGCACCCATATGTGATGTTGTCTCCCCAGCAATATATAATCTCTGATTCTTTGCTCATTTTCTTACTTTGATCTAGAATTTGTTTGAACAGTTATTCTATTTTAAGTGTAAATTGGGCTGAAGAGATTATTGTCATTCCTTCCCAAACTTACAGATTCCTTGAGTTTCACTGCTTTGAAATCCAGTATTCTTTCTTTTTCAAAAGTTTTCGACTCATTTTTAGTTTTTACATATGCCCTTTTACAAGCAAAACCGTTTATCTTTTCAATATCTTTAGTGCAGAATATACAGTAGTTAATGCATAAGGTGTTGTAACTGGGTAGAGAAAGACTAGAAGCTGGATTGAGCTGGAGTTTCAGCTTATGAGGGACTGAATAATTCTTTGAAAAAGAGGATGACCATCAGTACATTATGAATAGGTTTTCTTAGTTTAAAATCACCCTGGTTTGGTTGGAACAATTGAATTAATAAATTACCAAAGCCATATTAAACTTATATACTCAACAAAATAATATGGAATATCTCCTAGAATTTTTTTGTAAATTTATATTCTTAAGCTTTACTTTATGAAAATAAATATTTATTTGGACAATAAATTTAAAGAAATTCTGCATTAGCTCTTTTTTTTTTAAATAAAATCTATGTGGCCTTATCAGTATCTTTTTAGTCTAAAGAATTCCTTAAACAGCCACTCATTTTAAGAAAAATCTCCAAAAGACTTCTTTCAAGTATAGTGACACTTCCTGGACTTCAGTCCAGTAAGTCTTATTTCTGACCTACTTCTCCCAACCCCCTATGAAAGCAGTGTGTCTATTGTATACCTATAGTAAAGGAGGAGAGTTAAGGCTAGGGACATTAATTTAGTCTATCTTCTATTAGGGATATTCAGATCTATTACTTATATGGACAGAATTTGAAGAAATAAGGTCTTACTATACTAACATTTTAATGGCTTATAATTAGAAATTACTTAATTTTTTTTTGGAAAAAAGACACAGGTAAAAATGAAACTAAAATCCTCAAACCTTATATTCTCCACCTAAATTCCAATCAGTTAGTATACAGGTTAAGAACCTAATTTCCTTGTTCCACATATGAGCAACTCAGGCAAGTGAAGAATGTATTGACACTTGCTTTTTAGGTTCCTTGCTAGTAGACTTTCCAGTACTGATGGAGCAGTGTGACCTCTCTTCTAGAAGTAAATTACGTATATAACAGTTTGTTTTCTTTTTTGTTTTTCTTTGTTGTCTGTGGTGGTTGCTTGAACTCAGAGCCTGGACCCTGTTTCTGAGCTGTTTTTTGCTCAAGGCTAGCATTCTAGCACTTTGAGCCACAGCTCAAAGTTCTTTGATGGTTAATTGGAGATAAGATTCTCATGGATGCTGACTTTTGAACCACAATCCTTAGATCTCAGCCTCCTGAGGCATGAACCACCACCACTACCACCACCCCCCACCACAGTTTCTTTTTAATTGATATGATTCATTGTAAAGTACAATTGGGGGGGGAAGGTGTTTCTAAGAATACAAACTTGCTTTATGTTTTCATTTATAGGATTAAAAAGTTCTAGCAACATGAATTTCTAATGACTATTCTAAAACTGCAATCTCCTACTTTTACATATCTTTCCTAATATAACACTCCCTTACTGGAATGGCTTTTAATTTTGGAAGAAACAGGATTTAGGTAAGATGTTGCTAGGAATGGAATTATTTCACTATTACATGTTTTTGTCTTCAATACACTTGCAGAATTATTTGCCAAATATACTATGCAAATATACACTTCCACATCTTTCTACTGTTGTATATCATCAACATATAATACTGTGCATCTTTTAATTTTAGGCTAAGTTTCTTGATTTCAAGCTGGCTTAGAAATCTTTTGTATATATAGTAATTGCTGAGGACTTGGCAAATTTCCCATTCTTATATATTTTCTATGATTGTTTCTCTGCACTCCAAGTTATCTCTTAAATTATTTTCTAAGAGCTTTTTTTCCTTAGGATTTTATTAACATATATCAGTTGTTACAAAGGCAGTTTCTTTGTGAGATTTACATACATACATTCATACATACATATATATAGTAGCTTTAACTTTTGCATTTCATACTTGGCCTTTAATTGACTCATCTCTTCTGTATGTATGACTAGTGATCCCAACACCACTTTCCCTTATTGAAATCTTCCCTTCCTTTCACTAATTGGAAAAATGTTCTCAACTCTAAATCATTCATCAAAACTACCTTCTGTTTCAATTGTTTCTTTGTCCTTCTACCAGTGCTCTAATATGTTAATTATAATAGTTTTATAAATAATCTTAGTATCTGTTCAAACAAGGGTTTTCATTCATATTTTTCTTCAAATTTCACTACACTTTCAAATAAATTTCATTGATTTTTTTCATGTGAATTTTAGATCTGCTCATTCGTTCCTTATAAAATCCTACTGGTATTTTGTTTGGAATTATAATACATTCCTTTATTAATTTTGAAAAGCATTGTCTTCATTGATTTAAATCTTATCAATAGATCTTTGATCACTTTGGTCTTTAAAGCCCTTCAATGAAATTATAATTTTTTCCTAAACTCTTAACTACAACCAAGCCATTCTTATTTTGTGGATATTGTAATTAGTGTTTTTACTACATTCTAAAGTATTACTGTTGAATTATTTATTTTGTATGTTTGGGTTTTTTTCTTTTACACCCTTGTTGAAAGATTTCTGTAATTATATCTGCTTTCAGTCTCACTGGCTTACTACTATAATAGTTCTCAAGAAAACAACTTATATGTCCCCCTTGGACATAAGTACTAAGGGATGTAATATATCTGTAATCTATAAAGGTGGTTGAAGAGAACAGATCATTTGTATTGTACGCATATTATTTTAATTGTGTTTCTTGACTCTTCAATAATGCTCTTGAGAAAAATAGTACTTCAGTAAAAAGTGTGTTCCTTTTCTTTTGTGCTTCTTTTCAAGGCTTTCTGTGAAACTTTAGAAGAGACTAACTACCATTTACAGAAAGAACTACTTGAAAAGCAAAGAGAAGTGGAATCACTAAAGAAATTGCTCAGTGAAAAGCAACTTCACATAGAAACATTAGAGACCAGAATCAGGTGTGTGGTGATAGTTGCATTTGCAGTTGGACTGGTTCATCTCCTAGTATTTTGGGCTAACTGCCAGTTAGGTTTTGATATCACTTAGGAAGCTTCTGATTCTAAAAGTTAGAGACTCTTGGCTTCCTTTTAAATTGGAGAAATTGATTGTTAAGTTAGAAAGCTAAACATTGGAAACATGGGCAACAGGAAAATCAACCTATAGCTGTCCAACCTGGTATTTTTCTTTATTTATTTCAATCTGGTATTTTTCTAAGCTTTTGTATTGACTTCTCACATATAAAAGTTCTATATGAAAGTTCTGATAATCATTTACAGTTAACTATAGCTACTGAATTTCTCTGTCGCTCCCACAGTATACAATTTATTAGCCATGTTGGTCACATTGGACTTAACAGTTAAAAACTAATAATGTTGTATATATTCACAACAACAAATATATATATATAACTGTTTATTAATAAAAATGACTTTATTAATAAAAATGACTTTATGCTATAATGTACTTTTAGAACATTGTCTTTAGAACCTGAAGAATCACTGTATGTGTCAGGATCAGATAATGGACAAAGTCTAAGAATGGAATCTTCTGCATTTGAAGTTGATCAGGATGTCTTGGATGAAGAATCTAGGTATATGTTTAGTTTATTACAGCCTAATTTATATAATCAGGGGGTTTTCTAATACTCTGTAAAGTATTCTCTACGAAATTCAGTGTTACTGTATCATAAATCTGATGAACAGTTAGATAAAAACCGTTAAGTTTTCTTTCTCCCTAAAAATTCATCTCTGGCCACAGCCCTAAGTTTTTCATTGCTTACTTTGAAGCTATATCTGAATCAACAGGGGTCTCACAGAATTCATTAGATTTTTGAATCTTGACAAATGAATCCTCTAAATAACCTTCTTTTTCCATTCAGAAGTAGGAAGTATGATAGGAAACCACTCTGCCTAACAGAATGATTGAAAGGTTATCTTTCAATCATTGGATATAAATTGAAGGTAAAATTGCTAATACATAATGATAACATTTGAGCTATAGTATGAGACCCATGTTTAGACTGGTTAAAGGTGAAAATAAATTAGAATCTTATTGGCAAATGGTAGTTTGAAGAGCTAAATTTAAACATATATTCATCAGACTGGGTGGCACTTATCAGCTACTTAAAAGGCTGAGGCAAGACTCCCATTCCATAAGAAACCACATGTATAGATCTCCAAAGATATGTACATGGTCCTTAAATTTCTCGTTGAATATTTAAATATTTTTATAGTAAATGTTTAGTCATTCCATAAAGTAAAAGATTTTTAAGGAGAATAATAAAGTGAAATAGTATGGTTCTATTCTCTTCATTGACATTTTCTCTATTTTTGCAGTGCTAATAATAAGCCACACTTAAGTTCCCATGAAGCTGAAATTGCTGTATCAGACATAGAAGTGGCAGAACTGGCATATAATGCTGAAGAAGACTAACACTATACAAGCAGTGTCCTCCATTTCCACGTCTCAGCAACTTGGAATAGAGAGGCAAATACTGTTTGAAAAGAAAATGGACTGTGAAACCCAGAAAAGCAAGAATGCACATGTATAAAGTTTACATTAAAGAAACTTTAAAAAAATTATTGGAATAGGGAATATATCCATTGCTGCTTTTAATTGTCTTCTATCAGCCTTGTATTTAATACACTGAAAAAAAGTTAGAATTCTTTATCAAGGCTTATGTCTTTAAGTACTGTGTATAAATTATCCTGGTGTTTTGCCTGTATATTGCTTCAGTCTAGTGTGCGTGTGTGCACATGTGTATGTGTGTGTGCGAGAGAGCAAAAGTGTGTTTTAAATTATCATATTTTTGTCAAATGAAAGTTAATTGCATGTTACTATCTAGGCAATAGTTACTCTGTGTCTTTGATATGACCTACTTTCATAAATCAATGAACATAATAGTAAAGGTAAAATAAGTTGAGTTTTAAATGCTGACATGTTTATCATCTCTAAATAAAAACTGCTTGTTCCAAATGTCAATACTATTTAAAAGACTTCTCATACCAAAGGGAAACTGTTGTAAAGAGCTATAATCACTTATGTAAAGTAACACAATAGCCTTGGTTTTAAGAGCCAATTCATTAATAATAAGATACTTGATCCAGATTTATTAATTTGTTATACTCGGTTATTTTCCCATGCTTTTCATCTTAAACCTCTACCTATAGATTTGGTCAGTTTGCCTTTCAGAACATTACCCTTTTTGTTAATATAACCCAGTCTTTGGAAAATAAAATGTTAGACAAAAAAGAGAAAGATTGAAACCATCTATACTGCAGTTTCCTAACTAGCTTGATTCCTGGCATTGCATCTTTATGTATATTTAAAGTTGTTCTTACACTGTATCATGGCTATTTTTCTTTCTTAAGAAGCCAAGTGATGCACTTTATGATCATTAAACTCTTTTGTGCCAAGTTTAATTGGTAGATTTCTTTAGTAAGTGGAATTAGCTGAATAAAATATGTAGTGCCTTTACTATTTCACTTTGTACAAACTTTTGTGAGGGTCTGTGAGCCAAGTTTGTGAACAAAAATGTCTATATTTCAGTTTTGTGTATAGTTATTGAATGTGCCTTGTTTTGTTTCTATAGTTATGTGAAGTTATGTGGTTATTTTCTGTTTATACTTTTTGCTTAATGATATTGGCATTGTAATTGTACTATCATTTGGGAATCCTGGTGGTATATTGAATTAAACTCTAAAAATAACCTTAGTAAGGAATACAATAACAATACTTTTTTTTCTTTACTATTTAGGAGTTTATAGTATCTGAATGAACATGTCACATTGTGGTTGTTTCAAATTACACTGACAAAAATGAGTACACCCAGTGGCTCTTGTTAACTTCCAGTCTTACAAAGGAGACTACTTGTTACCAAAGTATCCAAATTCTAAGTCTCTGTTAAAATGTATTAGTATGTTCTGAATCAGAACATTTTGAACAAAGTGTATTAGGAATGTATTTATTATCCTTACTCAGAAATGAATATAATAATCTGGTCTGTGTATTTATTTTAAATTATTCTAGGTGTTCCAGATAGCTTAAAAAGAACAATCACTGAATATCATTTGAGTCTAATGAAACAAAATGATCTTTGCCAGATTCCAGATATTATAGTGCTACATCTGTTTTAAAAGTACCCAAATACTTATAAAATGTGGCTTTTCAGAAGATCGTATTTAGAGGTCTGGATGGGCAGTGAAAAATTGTTAATTAGCTAACACATTATTTATATTTAGAATTTACCTTTTTTTTACTTTTATAATGTGTTTTCCTTCCAATATTCCATTCATTTAATAAATTATTTTTTCATGATAACAGTAGCTGTGTCACTCCAATGTGGAAAACCATTTCCTCCCTCTACGTTTTGCATTCTCTGTGTCCTCTACAATGCTTACTGGAGATTGAATTTTGTTAAGATTTGCTTTTCACAGGTGTGGGATGAGTCTGATTTACTTTCTAAGTTGACACTTTACATCCCTGATCTTCTTTTAAAACTTAGTAGCTGTGAGCAATATACTACAGATGAATTTAGTATTAAAATAACAACTTAAATGAAACAGAAAACCTTTAAATCTTGTACTTCAGCATTTAAGAATTAATTCACATATTGATAATATAGTCAAAAGTTAAATGTTTTGAAATGTGTTTCATCTGCCTACCACACCAAGAATAGCCACATAGAACATATTGATTGAGGAAACTTCCCCAGATAAGTTACATAGTTCAGTTCAATTGTCATATTCAAAGGAAAGAGTGCATTTAGATTTAAAAATAAGTCTTCTGGTTTTGAAATGGATTTTATTCCTTATAAAATTGTGAATTGTGCTAAAATGGATGTGTCCATCCTTTAGATATCCATAATACCTCAAATGAACCACTGCAGTAATCTTTCAACTGATTTTCTGAAGGCCTCTTGCCTTTACCACAGTACAATTCATTCACTATGGTAGTAGGTTTTGAACATCTTAAGTCACATCTTGTTTTCTCCTCTTTCCCTAAAGCTTTTAAAGAATTCCCATCATGCTGTAAGTAGGATAAAATTCAGACTTCTAAAGCTGTGGCAGTGGCTCAAGTGGTAATGTGTCTGCTTAGCAAGTGCAAGTCTCAGTCCAAACCCTAGTATCACTGAAAACAAGACTGTCTTACCTGACATCCAAACATGGTTTCACTTCTACCAATTGCTCTGATTGTGATACCAACCCACATGGCTGCTTTAGGCTCTGCTCTGTCAAGCTCTTCTGCTTTCCAGCCCTGCCACATCCCTTGACTAGAAAGCTGTTTCCAGACTCTACACTGGTGGCTTCTTCAAGTCATAAGATTACTCCTCTACTGGCAACCTACAGTGGTCCTCAATCACTTAATGGGCTGGTATGGCTCAAGTAGTTTAACCTGTGGTCAAACTTAAGTTCCACCAAAAATTAAAATTGAAAATTCACTGAACCTCAAATTGCTTATTTATATCGTATGTCTGTATCAGAACCGTCACTCCAGGCTTTATGCTTTTTGCTCAGCCTTTTTGCTCCCAGTCCAGCTTTCTTCAATTGGAAACAGTCTCTCAGACTTTTCTGCCCTTGCTACCTTAGAACCAGGATCCTCAGCCTCCTGTATAGCTAGGATTACATGCACAAATCACTGATGCGTAGATTGTTATTTATTTTTGTTTGTTTCCCAATCCCTTTGAAAAGCAAGGCCCTGTCTATTTTCCTCTAATCTGTGCCTTTCTCCTAGCCATTCTTAGAAGATAATATCACATAGTATGTGCTCAACATTTATGGAATTGCTAAGATTATAAAAGCATGAACTGAAGGTTTATTAGAGAAATTAGAATTCAATCAACTACAAAAGATATTTGGAAAGAAAATGTAAGTATTGGGGATTGATATTCTGAACTGTTGTACTAGTAACTGAGGTAGAGATAAAGATGAAGGACATTTAAGACCACAGGAAAGATCCAGTTTGGGATATGCTGAATTTGGAATATTGTGAGCAAACCAGGTGAGACTTCAGTGCACAGTGGTAATATAGTAGTCCAAAATTCAATGAAAAGGTCTTAATAGAACCGAGCTCAGAATAATAAAGAGGTATTCCTTCTCTTTATTTTCTTTTTTCTTCTCTTGCCCATTGTACAGTGGTAAAACACACACATTAAGAAGTCTTACTTGTTAGCAGGACTAAAAATCAAGAAAAGAAATGCCTGATTCCACATGTGTCAAAGTGACAAGCATCGTGGAAATATGCCTAATGGGCTCAACTGTCTTACGCAGTTAACTTGCTTTTCACTCAATGAGTAATTTATTGTCACAGAAGATTGTGGCAATCACACAGTAATAGCATAATACAACAAGTTTCACCTATGTTCTTTGCTTATTTTAGTAGTATATTGTTTTTAGAGCTAAATTTAAGAGACATAGTAGACAACAAAATGGAAAGTTTGTTCTCACTAGTAATCAAAGAAAAACAACCACAACTTCAAGAAAGCTGTCTGTTCAATTGCAGGAAATTTATTTAATGGTGTTTGTAGTGTAATAAATGATCTCAGTGAATTGCTGGTGGAACTGTGTAAGTTTATTTATTTAATTTATTCTTGTCATTCATGGGCTTGAACCCTGGTCCTGGACACTATCCCTCAGCTCTTCAGCCCAAGGCGAGTGCTCTTATCACTTGAGCCACAGCGCCACTTCCGGTTTTCTGATGGTTTATTGGAGATAAGAGTCTCTCAGACTTTCCTGCCCCAGCTGGCTTTGAACTGCGATTCTCAGATTTCAGCCTCCTGAGTAGCTAGTATTGCACGTATGAGCCACCGATGTCCAACATGAGTTGGTTTATAAATGGGAAGTGGACCTGGCCCTCGTGACTCACTCCACAAATCCTAGTTACTCAGCAGCTGAGATCTGAGGATCATGGTTCAAAGTCAGTCCAGACAGGAAAGTATGTGAGACTCTTATTGCCACTAAACTACCAACAAAGCCAGAAGTAGAGCTAGTGCTCAAAGTGGTAGAGGACTAGCCTTGATCAAAAGAAGTCAGGGACAGTGCCCAGACCCTGAGTTCAAGCCCTGGGACCAGTATACACATATACGCATGCGCACACACACACACACAAGGAATGAGGTGGGGAGAATTCAGTCATAATTAAGAAAATTGAGGGGAGGGGTGGGTTGGCAAGATGGAGAAAAACAAAATAACATTTCTGGAGCTAATCTGGCAATATAAACTACTAGCTGCTCCTAATGCTCCCATCCCTCAACCCAGCAATTGCACTTCCACAAACACAGATATACATGAGGTGTATAACGATTTGTGACAAAGGATATGCAATATACTTACCATAAATACCTCAACATTCAGTTTCTAGGAATAAATATTTTTTAATATTGTAAGGCATACAAAAAAGTAAACTCTTCATGAAGCAATATTGCAATATCACACCATCAGCTGAAATAAGCAGGTTACAAAACTAGCTTTAACTTTATAAGTGAAAGTGTTCCTTTGTAGA